ACTTTATTTCGACTGGAAATTCTCTTCTTGATAAATATCTGTCTGCCGCGCATCGACGAACCGACTTAATCTCATTGCCAGAAATCGCGCGGGGGGAAAGGGATATCATTTTTATAAGCCACTATCTGGTGTCGTGTCTCTCTCTCTCCTTTTCTTTCTCATAAAAGAACCAGAAAGCGAATATAGCGTTTTCCGTACTGAGGGAGACGAGGTAGCCCCTGGCGTCTTGTTATTTTGCTCAATTTCTATTTCCCTATATCGAGGAGATATCTTTCCTTCGTCCTATCGCGTCTTCGTCTCCACAAGCACGGTTGGCGCGAATAAACAGAGACGTTGCCGCGAACACGAGACAACGTATCCATTTTATCGAAGCAAATATGCTCGGGATCCGTACGCGCGGATGCCATTTTCCGCCCGCGTTTCCTTCTCCTCATCTCTTCCTTGCGGATTACCCGCTTTCGTCGCCGCGATAGGTAAAACAAATCCCAAGGATGCTCGGCGAGAGTATACACTATAAACGTTATACCCTTACCCTGCATCTCTTATTATATTCAATGTGAATTATCCTTTGCCTGCCTCGAGGACGATAGCGGGATGTCTGCGTGGGGAAATGAATCTATAATTATCGCTGAATATCTTTATTTAAAGATTAATTAATGCTCTAATTATAAGACGTAATTCATAGAAGCTCTCAATTCTGTAAAAAAATTCATTCCATGTTTTATCATGGAAATTATGGCTCTGGTTGGAAAATACGGATATAGGAGGCTACGAATTTAATGAAAATTCGAAATACAATCAAGTTACAAAATTTCCAACTAATAATAATAGCTGCGCGGATAATTTTATTAAAACTTTTTGTTGCTCGAAATAAAAACGCGTACCTCCGGATTGTCGACTCTCGTTGCGAGACAGTCTACATAACGGCGCGGTATTTCCCACAGTGCACACTTTAATAAAATATGTTATATTATGTGCCCGCGCGGACAATATTAAACTTTGCCAATGTTTGCACATTGCCGGCACGTCGCAGTATTTGCCGGAAAATCTCTTTTCCGAGAAGAGAGATAGCGAGCAAGTTTATTTAATAACACGGCGTAGAACATCGCCCGAGGGGGGAAGGGGAAAAAGGAATCGCGGGAGAAAGGAACGCTTCAAAATAACGCTTCTGATAGACGCCGGTAAGAGAGCGGAATCAAAAGGAAACCACCGAGTCGCGTTACGTCGCTCGAAGATATCCGAGACCCTCCAGAGAAGTTCGTGAAAGGCACACCTCGTGAGACTTTTGTAATTCGAGAAGATACACACACACACATACACACACATACACACACATACACACACATATATATACACACGGGCCTATGAGACGATTGTTCATCACTTTCGTCACATTTTCGCTTTTGTGCGTTAAATGTTTTCACTTCTCCCGCATCGCTCAAGTTGCAAAAATCACATACAGATATCTATAATATAATGTATTAGGTATAATAAAATCATGTTATGATTTTTAGTATTCTATTTGTTAAATACAGTTTCTGGAATGAAATATAAAAAATTGTAGATTATAGAAATGTGTGTGATATTTATATAGATATTTTTTTAGTCTTTTTTTTAGTCCTTCTAAAATAAAAATATTAAAAATTTTAGTGAGTTTAATTTTTTCGATATCTGCGCAGGACACATTTTATTCCAATTTTCGCATTTTCACGTTTTAATTGCGGAATATTTGAAATTAATCTCGAAAAATTTCTCAAAAGTTCCTAAACTATAATTACATAGAAATAATCCGATTTTTAATCTAATAAATAAAAACTTGATATCAAAAGGATTAACGAATCGACGAATGTTGGGGAGCGATTTTTCGGCGATGGAAAAAGAAGGCACAAGACTCGATGGCTTCCCTATTGTAGAAAATACATTGTCCGGAAGCAAGTAAGAGGAAAGTGATACCGCATTATTACGAAGCAGGACGAAACTCTATTCAAGAGGAACATTCTCAATAGGATGAAGTACACATCACGAACGGTTTCGGTATTCAAAAGGGAACCTTACGGAATCTCCCCGTTCATTATAGCGTACTTTTATTACATTAAGACATGAATTTGTATTGATAATATTCTCTTGATCTCTTACCTTATTTACATTGTATAGTACAACAATGCATTTTGCAATTATGAAAGGGACAAGCTTTTCTCATATTTCGCTCTGTTGCGATAACTTTTGCCGTCAAAATATGTAAATTTTGCATTAAAGTTTTTATTAACTTGAGGTTACGATATCATGCATATTTAAAAACATTAATTAAACATGTTGTGGCAAGACAATTTTAAATTAAGAAATAGCATGTAATTATGCACACTGTGAGCATTAAGTATTAACAATACTTATGATTATACTTTTCTAATCTAAGTAGCGGTTTAGAAACAATTAATTATCTAAGTTAATTAATAATTAATTATTTGAGAGAAAATTTGTCCGTTTCGCTATATTTTCCATCATCATGTTTTTATGGCCACGATATTATGGTGAGATAGTAATCTTCGATGTTGAAAAATAAATCAACGATCGAGAAAAAAGTTGCCTCGAGGAACTCCACGCAGCGTTCCGTTGAATTTAATGAAGTACTATTTTGCCATATCCCTTCATTGGCTTTAAGTTGTAAACGTCGGTCCACAACAATATACGATCGCGCCGACGAACTTTGCCACGCGCGATTACTCTTTGTTACTCCCTTTCGCAATCACCCCATGAAAACTCTACGCGAAAACTCGTCGGAGGCAGCCGCCCGATGGTAACCACGACGACTACGCAGTCGTCGAGGGGAAGTTTTTATCACTCGTCTTGCGAAGGGCCACCCGACAAATTAAATTGCTCGCAACTATGCGGAATAATGTAATTGTTCTCCTGCCTTTGAAACAATACCAGCCGCCGCGATTTGCAGCGGTGAATATATGTAAGACAATTCTCTTTGTTTTGTGAATATAATAATCATTTAATGGAAGAGTCGAAGAGTGCAATACACAATAAAAGGTCCATTCATTCCTTTCTTTAAGAAGTTAGGAAAATTAATCTTAAGGCGGAAAGGGAGAGGACTAAAAAAATTTCAATTAAACTCTTCTTGAGTTTTTTTTCGAAAAGTGAATTAAGATTTGCGAATTTCAAGACTCTTTTCTAGAGAACCCGACAACTTCGATAATAATCAAGCCACTTTTCTTCTCGGTCGTCAAAGCGTCGTTTGTTTATCCTTGAAATTTATACGTACGATCGATAGAGCTCTATGTGTATGTAATTTCAACACTACAAATAATAGGTCGAAAGAGACAGACAAGTGTGTAACACGAAGCCGGCCAGTAGTGGCGCAATGCGAAACCCAAGTAAAAAACGGAAAACGATCTTGCCACTTCAATTTCACGGTACACATGTTAAAGTGTAATTTTTTAACGCGCTTCGTCGTGTCGGAAATTCCCTGTAAAAAGTTTTGCCGCGGATCCCTCTTTTGTTGTAGCCATTCGGCGCTTCGCCGAAAATTCGCCCTCCTTTTCCGCCATTTCTTATGCGCCGCGCGAAAGAAGCAAACTGTTAGTCGTCTACAAAGGAAAGTTCTTGCGCTACTTTTGTTCCTATTTTGCGATAGATAGAGTTTGCGAAAAGATGAGAAGGAAAAGAGAGGAGAAATATATTCTCTCTCGTGTATTAGATTAAATTAGACCCTCTCGTCCCGCATCTCGAGTGCCGACTGCTTGACCCTCCCGAATCCTTTCCCCGATCTCTGTGAGATAATTCAATTCCATGTCCTGAATCGCTTATGTGACTAGCTGGCCGTTACATTAGCGGAAGTGGCCGCTATCCTCCTGTACCTAGCGAGCTCGAAGAACGTGGTAGATGCGTGGTAGATGCGCCAATAAGACATGTAATTAGTAGCAGCGTGAGTATTACACTGATATCGTGGAAAATGGCGAGAAGAATTTCTGTTCGCGATATTATCTATATAATATCATTTCTTCTTTCGCGATATTATCTATATAATATCATCTCAATATTGTTCTCTGATTCGCGAGAACAAATTTGGATTATATATATCTCTAAACAGCATAGATCCTCCCTCACATTAACGATTAAAATATTACTTAATAGTATCATTTTAATCGTATTTTATCGTATTATAATGATAATAATAACTAATAATAATTTCATAATTTTTTAAATGTTTTGCATATAATCTTTCCACAGTTTTATTGTTGAGAAATGAAAGATTATCGAGGCGTTTCAGCAAAAAAATTTTGTACAATTATTTTGCGGAAAAAAAACGCGAGAATCATAGAGAGATGATGATTTTTCATTAACGGTGATTCTGGAAAAAGTGATTTTTCGCTCATTTGCATTAATTTTTAATATATAAAATGACTGTCTAATGTACATGTCAAATAATTGTCGATCAAATTGAAGTATATTTTTCTGATCAATTTTGGAAAATATTTTTATAATTATATTTGTCTATAACAAGACCGAATATGATGACGAATTACTAACATTTATGAAAAATGGATAAAACGATGTTATATAATAAAGTCTGATCGATGGAACACTACGTTAATGGATATAGTGCTCGCTTTCAAAGCGAGTGTATAATGTAGCGGCATTATTTCTCGTTCCATCAAAGATATCGTATCAAAATTAATAGAGGTAATCTTCGTGCTATTCCATTGGATTCTTTTTACCGATCAATAGCAACATGACAGCGGCATATTTATCTATTGTTGAAAGTTTCGAGCTGGTAACACTTGTTAACGGCGAGCACGTATTAATGCTACAAGCTGAACACTGTTAAAGCCACGATATAGTATCAAAGGAAGAGTCGCGCGTAGTTTGCGTAGTGGAACGCGAGCTCGTATAATTTCCCTTTAATCCCTTAAACACGATAGCGGATGAATACTAAACACACTCAATTAAAGCCGCCCGTTCGCGAAAACTTTCGAAATTGGTTGAAAGTAACTCACCCTCAATAGTAGCGCTGCTCGGCGTGTCTCCAGAATTATAGAGGTCATCTGAAACAGAAGTTAGAAGTTTATCGGCTGCGGTGGTAGTCCTTGATAGAGATGGATATTGGGCATGAATTAATTAACAAGTGTACCTGCAAAACACTTCATTAGATTAAACTTGGATAGCGCTCTCGGCGATAGCGTCCATTATTTCGCGATCGGAGACGCCGAACAACTCTGTTCTGATCGAGAACTACTAATAAGTAAAGTAATTCAGTCTGTAATTATGTCCTTCGGTAATGATCAGCGTCTTTAGTGCGATTTAGATCTATTAAACTATCGAATCGCGTGTCATCCAACGAAGTAATTAGTGTTAATTGAAAGATAAATTATCATATAAAATTACATTAGTCAAAATCAATAAAATTAATAATGAATAGAATAGAATTATAGACAGAATTTTAAGATGAAAAAGAAAGGATATTAATATGCATAAGATGAGCTTAAAGAATAGAATAAAAATCAATGAAAAAGAAGAAGAAATTTAATTGTGCGTGTGCGTATATTGAAAATAATAATTTATATATGTGAATCTAAAATTCTAATTTCAAAATATACAATTTTCAAGATATACCGAGATGTGTACATATTTAAATATTGTTATATCTTTTGACGATATATACAGCTTAATAAAAAGAAATAATCCCGAAAGTTTATGGTGATACCTGAGAAGCTGAGAAAATATATTCCTCGCCAAGAAAGTATCTCGCGCTCGCTTTTCCCCAGTCATATTTATGCACGATAAACGACTCGGCCAGCTCTATAAATGTCCTCGCCTTATTAAATATCGCCGCCATTACGGACACCGACGCGTTATAGATTATGAATTTGCTTAGGGGTGAGCAATTCAATATTTCGCGCGGCCGCAAACGTTTGTTATACAAATATTCGAATGGATTGCCGCTGGGCAGTTAATATGGGCGAGTAAATTTTGCACAACATCGACGCGAGTGTTCCGGACAAATATCGGTAAGCAAATCCGCGGAATAATCTTCTCCAAACGACCGCTATGATATTTGCCATAACTGCTCTTTCTTTAATTAATCCCTGTGATAAATATTAAATCGACGCTGACAATTTCTTAGAAATTTGCAACACTCGTCCTTTCTTATCTTCATATCTTCATATTGATCGTGTTTTATATATAAATAAGTTTGTGTATGTACGAAATGTAAAATATTCAATAATAGAACCAAATTCAATTATTTAGAGAGATTTCCGTAACGCAAATTTCAGCTGAAAACTAAATTTACCATAACAAATTTTGAATGCAAACTGTTTCCATTATAGAGACTGCTGCACACATTTACATAGATTACAAAATTATTAAAATCATAAATTTAAATTTATCATGAATCTAAGTGAGCTTTTCTAAAAATAACAGTTATTTTTAGATTGCGTTCACATTTATATTTTAGGTTACTTTAATAGATTAACACGACCAATGTAACAAGAAAGCATAGCTAACATTGTCCGATTTCCTGTAAATTGTTTACGTTACCCACGCGCGTCGATATCGCTAATTATACCTGTATCGTGTGCTAATTTTACTATACACATATATATTCTCGCACGTGTCACTAATTTATAAACGAGAAGTTCCAAAGAAATAACAGTCTCATTTTTGTTTCCAAAATAACTTTGTAATTTATCTTACGATGGCTGCGTTCTTAAGCCTCCGCTGGAGATCAAGTTGAACCAATAGAGCGTTTGCGTAATGACCCAATTATTAAATTATTAAAATATGTTGGACACCCTAGGACAATTGCACGACCATATTGATATCCGTATAAAATATCACACCCATTCTCGCAATTAGATCGTCAACACGGATACGACGTCTGACATTTTTAGATTGGACTTGACTGCGTACGAAAACGATTGGCAATACGTCACTCTATCATGTCTGACCTCGTGTTTATATCGGCATGATTGCGTAGTTTAATGTCTAAACCAGGCTGGGATCAACGCCGAGGGATCATTTTCTCACGATCGCGCGACTCTAATGACCGAAAACTCGGCCAAATAAAGATAGATATATCCCGTTTCTAAAGAATATCTAATAATAGGTATTCCAAGCAGGCTGTTTTTAGCTCACTGATATATGTCGTATATTAGAAATCTGAGTTTATCATAAGAGGAGAATTCTGAGAAAGTAATTTTACCGTGATTTGATTTATCTCTGCAAGAACCGCAAATATATTATTTTCTAAATGAAAACAACTCTCTATGTTTCTAGATTCTATATACTTAATTCACTCTCTGTTTTCTCCTCTCTTCTATTTTGCAATAGAGTATAATATTGTTACAGTATAATATTGTTATAACACAGATTGATTTTTTAAAAATTTCCATATCAATTTGTATCGATTATTGGAGTACTTGTGTTGCGCTATTTTTAGAGTTCGCTTTGAATATATCGCAAAATTACTTTACATACGCAAAGGAGAATTTGCGTAAAATCAACCGTACCGGGCTTTCTTAAAGAATGTTCGCGCGCCCTTCGAAATTCTACACATAGTAAAGTAAAGATCATAGTAAAGTAAAGGTTTTTCTTAAGACCTTGCCGAGCCAGCACTTCTGACACAATATGACTTTGCGTTGTTTCGTCATACTATGAGAGAGTAGTAAAAAGCGATTGGATTCGAGACGTGAGAGGAGTATCTTGAACGAAGACGCAGCTACAAAATTGCCACGAGTATAAAGAATCGAAAGAGATGTTCCGGAATGTTTCATAAACGCTTTCCTTCAGCCTTACGTTCTTCGACACATGGCGAACGGACCAAAATATATTTCGAATCTAGAAATGAAGCAATGAAGCGGTAAAATGCACCTTTGTCACATGAAAAAAAATAATGCTGCGTTCCTTCAAAAAGTATTAAATATATCAATCGTGTTTCTTTCTCTGAAAATAATATAAAACTAAAATATATATAAATTGTATTTACTGTTGAAAGTGTATAATTTTCAGCTCGATGCTACTTGCAATAATAAAATATTACTAGTATAAAGATACAAGAGGTGTGTGAGAATGCATCAATAATTTTAAACTAGAAGCTGTAAAATTATAAAATTTAAAAATTCTTCGTAATTATTTTCTAATGAATTATAAGAAAAAGTAACCGTGCCGTAATAGCCATTGTAACATATGGAAAATCAATTAAAGCTTTCTCTGTTTCAATGAATGAGTAATAATTACTTACAGCGTTTCATCGTATTCTTGACGATACGCAATCCTTTTGCTATTCTAGTAATTAGAGATTTAACTTATTAACCAGATGCTTTGAATGTTCCGACATTGCCACTTGCAAAGTGAAAATCCACTCGAACGAATTCTTGTCATGTGGCACTAATTTACGCTCGCTAAGCATCAGCAAAGTTTTATTAGTTCCCGCAATGCGATTTGCAATTTGCTTCATATTCTGTAAATTAGCACGTCGAATAAGTTTGCCATGGGAACGCCCGCCAGCTAGAGTTGTTTAGGCCACGATATATAAAATGAATCGGGCATAATGGCCTAACATAAACTAAAATTGAAGGTGTTGCAAAGCCGATCTCAACGTCAAACTTTTAGCTTAAATTTGGCTTAAATTTGCGTTGTGCGCGTTATTAAACGAATTAATTTCTGCTAGCGACAGGTCGGCCTCGGCAACAACCAATTTTAGCAACACACACACACACACACATATATATATATATATATATATATATATATGCATATATATATATATGCATATATATACATACTATATATGTAGAATTATGAACCTATTGTTATTCGCAAATTCTAATGAATGAATAAGAGATGTTTGTGAAACATTTGCTGCATATAAATCAACTTGTTAATCATTTTCGGATGCGTATTATTGTTGCGATGTTTATTACAACATTATGTGAAAAATAATATTCAATAAATATGTGAATATATTCTGTTTAGTTTTCTAAAAAATAAAAAGAGAGAGAAAGAGGGAAGGCTCTCTGATATTTCTATTAATAAAATAGAAGCGTTTTATTTCCGCTTTTTCACAATCCTCTTTATTTTTGAAAACTAATGCATAAAGAATTTCAAATCTCGAATCAGTGACGAAAAAAATGAATAATTAAAAATTATCTCACACAATAAACCATATAGTAATATCTGACTATGTATTTATTCTCCTGGAATAAATTCACACGGCAAAATTATTCTATAAACGAATTTTCCAAATGCCTATATAAACATAATAGAGATACAACATGCGACTCGAGTGTGTATATACATGCGTATATATTTGTTATTGCGTTTCTGATGCTTCACGCTTTTTCTTCTCTATATATATATATATATATATATATATATATATATATATATATATATATTACATTTCGAGATATAATACGTCCGCAATGAGAGTCAACGATTTTTTTATTGCGGTCAGAGAACAATATCGGGGCATTGCACTCAATTAACCGGAGAACAATTACTTTCAATGAGGTTCAATGAATTCGCGGCGCGTTTCAAACCGGTTTATTTCGTTGCAGGAGGTGATATCTCCAAAATATCTCTATTCAAATCCGTTTTATGTGTCAGATGACATCTGTTGCAAAAATACTCGTAAAATTCGTGAAATATTAATCGTAAAAAATAATTGTTATTTAACGTGTAAACCGATAAAATAAACTTTTATATCGATTTAAACGAGTCGACGTGATTTTTCATTGTAACTAAATACAATCGTTCTAATATTTTTTTTATTCTTAAAAAAATTTCGTTCTTCCGATAATTAAATACATAATAATTTTAACATGCTGCAATAATTGAGACAAATGTTCTTAGAAGGCGAAAAATAAATAAAGTCTCTATAATAATAATAAATGCACCAATTACTATTATATAATTAATTATTATTTATTAATCTAAATTTAACGTGCGGCTGTTGCAGTGCAGAACATTGCGCGACAATTCATGATTCTAATTTAGAAAGTGACATTCGCGTATGCTTCGGTACACCGAAACGAACTCGACTCGCTGGTTCCTTTGTTCCTCTTTCGGACTTAGGTATTTTACTCGTGTACTTAACTCCCCGGCAAAGGAACAATCCGTCTGCCCTTATAGAACGTACGCGATTAAACTTTTCTCAACGAATCGAATTTAACTTTCTGCGCCGGTCGGGGTAACTACTTTTGTTACTCGCTCGCCAACAAGCTCGTTACACGTTGAACACCGCACAGCGCCGAGATGGACTTCTGGAAGTTGCACTCGAAAGGAGAACGAGTTAACTATTGATTCTGAGCAGCTGGATGAGAGCTCTAATCATAACTGTTATGGAATCGTCTACACACGTAGTTATTTCTTTCGAAATGAACAACTATCAACGCAGAGAGTATAGAGAACTGAATATGTCTGACAGTCACTTGTTACACATATACGTGTAATAAATCCAAAATATAATTACACATTAATTGAACTAATACAGGGAAATAATTTATTTTTGATCGTTAATAATATTTGTGATTGGTAATATTATTTTCCATTAATATATTCGGAAACTATTGATGTTTCCAATTTAAGAGACCACGAATATATTTGCTCTAGAAATAAATTCAATATTGATTGAACGTCGCGTTTGAAAAGTTATTACTCTGTAAAAAGTTCAATTAATTTTTATAGACGAGAGACCGTGTGCAGTATATCAGAACTCACATGTTGGATAGAAAATTGAGAAATCTATTAAAAAAAATCGCTCCAAGTTAGTCAGGTAACACAATCTTCTCCCTCATATGGTTGTTTTTATGCGTTCTAATCAGAAACGACGGAGCCGATAATGAACGAACGAATGAACATAGTGCTCCTAGTTATGTCCTTTTCTCATTACCGCTATACCATCCCCTTCAGTCTGGCTTTTCCATTTTTCTTAGCCGTTGTCCTCACCTCCGTCACTATTTGTGTTTTCTTTTCATTAACAGCGAGCCGTCGTTTGCGCGCCCGACATAGTTTCGTACGTACTTCATTCGTCTCGCTACTGTTTCTCTTTTTCATCCGTACTCGGACATTGTCTGCGCGCTGACGAGAGGAGAGACAGTAAAGGGGCTGCGAAAAGACTGCAAAGTTCTTCTGCAGTAACGAGCGATGATAAAAATAGCGATTAATATCGGACAATAAGACTATACGATCCACATGATGATTGTCAATTCTCAACTTCTTTGTTCTCAATCGCGATCACTTTTTATTTTATTTGTAGCTTATGAAAGCAATAAACAAAGTTCATCTTCCAAAGCAAAGTTCATTCGAAAAATTAAGCTCCATTTAAACATTCTTGGAAAAAAATGCCATGTAGAAATTATTTATAAAAAAGAAGAAAGAAAGAGACAAAGTGTTCTGCTAACAAATATATGATCCGTATAAAAAAAATATCAGTGACAAAACAAATAGACGGTCATAATTATTTGCCGTTAACGGCGTCGGTGAAATCGCAAAAGTCCAATATAATAAATCGTTCGCGATGCATTAAAAGCGACAGCAGTTTGATTTTAAAACAGACGGCGCCGGGTAAATTTTTGTTCACGGCCTGGATAAATGTTTATTCGGTAATAATATTCATGACTCGAAAATTTTATTTAATTATTACAAGTGCACGATGTCACAAAACATTCGCACGACGATTTCTATCTCTGACTCATTAGGAAACGACGGATGACATCGTCGTTTCGTGGTGCAAATTCCTTGACACTTCGTCATCGTTCCTTTTTACGCAAAATCGATCTTGCCACATCAGCAATTTTTATCACAAGATGTCGTACACACTCGATAGATGGATAAACGACGCGATAGAGAAAATGACAACTTTGTGATAATTTTGAGAAAGTAAAAGGATAATAATAAATAAACATTGACATTTGCGTATTGCATATTGACATAATTCGCAAGCGATGTTTGTCGAGAATATTTTTGCAATCAATTCATAAATTTATATATGTACGGTATGAATACTGTCCATTCAGAAGGAACATGCCAAGGAATTTATGCGGTCGCAGATACTTAAGAACACGATAAACAACCAGACGTACAGACCGCCTTCGTTTCTTCCGACACAATCGAGGGAATGGATGCGACTGAAAGACATTTTTCTTCATTTTCAGAAACATAAAAGTCTTCTATGAGATTCAATTATAGCAGTTATTCTTTTACGATTCTATAAAAAGGAAAGAGAGGCTAGAATTATTATCACTCTTATCGCACAATTATAAACGTGAATTGGGACATCAAGTTTTTATCTCTGCTGATTCATACGATTATTCTGTCTAACAGCACAATCATCAATCTCCGCATTTCCAAAGGGACGCAATGGATCGGAACAAATTGTTACGTGTGATATACACACAAGCCTCTCGCCGATTACACAAGCCTCCCGTGTACTGATACTGACAGAGGGGGATAATTAAAATTGATAGCTTCGCGTTATACGCACATTACGACCGATTCCCTTCCGATAGACGGGTGTAATTCACGTTTGACGAATCGGGCGTGAAATTAATTTTACCATTAGTGCGCTTTGACGCGCGTTATCGCGCCGCCGCAGCGGTTCCCGCTCCCTTCGCGGATCGCGCAGCGAATCTCGCGTGCACGAGCAGCATCGCCATACATATCACGGGGCATACATACATCTCGCATATGGAATGAATGCGTCCTACCGTAAGCAATTTTCGCCTCCAAATTGAGCTTGCACTCGTGCCGCGTCGCGTACATGTACGGCCGCGGCTCACCCGGGCACCAGGGCACGGACGGACCGCAAACGCATTTGCCGGCGGCCGCTGCACTTCCGGTCTCGGCCGATGTGGTTCCCTCGCCGACCAGGTTGCAGCCGGGACCCGACATCATCGGCCCGTGCGGACAGTGCCTCCTCCATCTGCCTGGGATTTCTGGAAAATGTAATCACACCAGATGACACGTGACTATGAATAAGTTATTTTTTTAACTAATTTTCCAATTATTGAATCGCTCTTTTCATATATATTTTAATATGTATTATAATATATATTATAATATATATTTAATATATTTAATATATATATTTTTTATATATTTAATATTTTTAATATATATATTTTTTATATATTTCATATATATTTTAATTATGAATTATAAACTCTATTGGAGTAGGCTTTTGTATTTTTGGAGCCAAATTAACGATATATCTCACTACGTGAACAAATACAGAAAGCGACTCGGAATCTCAATGTATGAGACAGAAGATCGCTCTTTTCACATATATTTTAATATATATTATAATATATATTTAATATATTTAATATATATATTTTTTTATATATTTAATATATATTTTAATATTTCATATATATTTTAATTATGAATTATAAACTCTATTGGAGTAGGTTTTTGTATTTTGGAGCCAAATTACCGATATCTCACTACGTGAACAAGTAAAGAAAACGAATCGGAATCTCAATTTATGAGACAGAAGATAAGTAAAGAGAAATGAAAAAAGATTAATATTATTTTAATTATTATCGTATTAATATTGATGACAATAGTTATAATAAATTAATTTGCAACGTTCGTAAAATATAATTTGAGATCCTAAAACACGATGAATAAAACATCGCACGATCGTTCTATTTATAGTTTTATCATACAATATGCAGCAATGACTGTGCAGCTTTATTATTTATCGGTCTAATATCTACGTAATTTCTTTTTCGCGATTAAACTTTGGCGAACGATGTAATTTTCGGCATGCGTAAGTGGAAATATACATAAATGACGTGTTTACGTTTGATGTTTGCTATCGGCCCGCATGTTATACGCTTGTTGCGAAATGCCAAGCAATCGAGTTAATTTTGCACCATGATAGCGATACACTGTCATCGGCAGATTATTATTACACGCATCAAACGGTGAAATTGAAAAACCGATTCCTATCGCGATTACGCGATCGTCGATGAATAACACTCGAAAAATTTGCATATTGTATCGATCGATGCGAGAGCTTATATCTCTTTTAGAAAAAAAGTGCATTTTTGCCTACGTTGTAAGTGCGAATAATTCATACATTCGAATCTATCGATTTGATCGATAATGGCTTATCATAATCCGGATTTATCCAACTATGCAGGCATCGCATTGAAAAATTCCACGCAAGGTGAGCGAAGCAATGTGTGCGGAGAATTTTACATTGGAATTTGTAAAGTGCAAATAACGCGCGATGCGGGAAAAATTCCAGAATCATTCCAATATCCGTAGCGAATTCAATGACGAAGCGAATCGAGCATCGATAACGGCGCAATTACAAGATCGTCAACATCGCCAGGCATCGTGCATACATAGCTCATTGTCGTCGTCGGATCAGGATGGGGAGAGTTCCGTTGATATACCCGAGGGAGTATAATGCGGTCGCCTAATGAGACATGCTGTGTACCTGGACGACAATTCGAATTCAATTGCGTTCGCTATACTAGCCGCGTATTAGAGTATACCTGAGAGGAACAAAAGGAGAAACGAGGGGAGGGAGAAAGAGAGCGTGGGCGTCGTCGGTGCTTTAAAGAGAAATGACAGCAGTTAATTTTCACCGTTCGCGCAAAATAACTCCGTGGAAGGAGAAAAAAGAAATAGAAGCGCGATAAAGCGCGACAGAAACGGAAGCGGGACGATCAAGCAACCGGATGGTAAATCGAGGCCGAGTTGTCGGACACGAAGGGCGATTACGACCTATCGTGATAACCTGATCTCCACGATGACCTTCCCGCATTGCCTCCCACGCCTTCGACCGTGCCGCGTTTCGATCGATAAGTTTAATAATCTACAGACGGTCTGCGCGGAGAAAATCGAATTTGCCGATCGGTTTGCCCTCCGGGCCGTGCTAAATGCGAATTCATTTCGAGCTAATGGCTGGGAATGCGCTTCCGTCTAATTGCCCACTAGCAGGGCCAGATATACGCTGCGAGTTCGCAAGCCGAGAACGCAACCGAACCGCGGCGGTATTCGATTATGAGAACCGAGGATAGTATCGCGCGAGAAAGTATTCCAAGGATGGGCTAAAGCGACCGGACGTGGCCAGGTTCACCGCGGAATTCAGCTCCGTCTTCGGAATGATGCTATTAGAAATTACCGCTATGATTCGTATCAATCATTAGTAAATTTGCTCTTCAACCATTCGAATTTAAACTTGTATTTTATAAATTTAACTCGGTCACGTAGTCTTTTTTATCGCTTATAATTTTACCTCGCCGAGGATCTTTTTTCACCTCGCTTTCTATATTGCGCAAGCAATATCAAAGATTGGTGTTAATTTAATTTACACATGTTACATTTATATCATTTATATCATTTAGGTAAAATTTATACCATGTTACATTTATACCATTTAGGTAAAAGATCGATTGCATATCGAAGATAAAATTGTCTTGCGTAAGAATATACTCATAATTGCATAAATATGTAGTTACAAATCTTCTTATTAAAAAGGCGGTCAATTATTTTCTTTGAAAGCATTTAATTAATAAATAAATCTTCTTTTTATGAAGAATGTTATTTGATGAAAAAATGGAACATTGAGTTGCCACTTTTTATGCGGATTTATTTCGAGCTAATGGACTGTGCATGTGAGGATCAATTGACCGTGACCGTTCGGGATGCACATTTCCGCTTTTATGTACATTACGTCGTCGATCCTTCCGGAATAGCGACGCGAAATTGGAGAAGTCAGAATGCATTACGGTAGTACTGTGGCTTACATGGAGATGTATTTGATCTCTTGTCCCAGTTAGTAACCCGTTAAATTGTTAGCCACTTCGTTAAATCATCAATGTGCGCGACACTTATGTTTCTCTCATCAAATTATCTTTGAATAACACGGAGTTTATAGGAAAATATACATATATAGATTTCTAACAGATTACTTTCGCATCGACGCACGCACATGAAAAATCTTAATTAATACTAATATTAATTTATTATTTCTTATTCTATTGTTTTTGTTTTAAATAAAATAAAAACTGCTTTTTTTCTAAAAAAAAACACTCGATTTTTTTAAATTTCAGATGATCCAACTTTCTTTTTTATCTGGTTAATAAGCTCAATTTATGTAATTCAAAAAAATAAGCATATTTTGTATATAATATATACTAATTATTATTACTGTAATATATATGAGTAAATATTAGAACAAGGAATATTAAGGCAATATATTCAGACTTAATGTAAAAACATTTTATCCCAGTATCTCTCTTTTTTAACAAAATAATCAGCGTAATTAATAAATCTGTGATGATAAGGGGAAAATAATATTGATTGATAAATAAATGCGCATTTCACGCAAATTTATAATGCATTAATTTTCGATAATTATAATATGAGATATATATATGTGTGTGTGTGTGTGTGTGTGTGTGTGTGTGTGTGTGTGTGTGTGTGTGTGTGTGTGTGTGTGTGTGTGTGTGTATATATTTCAAATCGGTTAAACCGCTGTAAACCCATTGCTGAAACATTGCCGCAACAGCGTAACAAGTGTACAATAATGACATATTTTATACGCTCATTACACGCGAGTGACATGAGAGTTTATACGGTTGCTGCGCGGGCCATTTAGTTACATTACAGTTTTGCGTGATGCACGGCAAAATGCAGATTTCCAAAGTAAACGAAGTTATGAAAAATAACGATAATAATGTCTTTCATCCCATCGCCGGTAAGTAACTTCACCGACGAAAAGAGCGGCTTAATCAACCAACGCGGATGTATTAAGGGCGATAAAAAATCATGCGCCACCAGAAAAGGACGAAATTACTCCGGGATACATCCCTAGATTTTTTACAAACCTCATCTGCATAACGTAACGCGAAGGATGACGCCAGAATGTGCCCTTTTACGTGACAACCATTTACTCTTTTGCTCGAGTATATTACTCGACTTATTTTTTTGCATGTATAATAATGTATATGCAACAGCAACTGTTATGCGAAAATAATGAAATTTTGTATGTCGCTTACACTATAATAGGTCGTAAAACAGGTAAAAAATATTGATATTACAATTTTTCAAGTCTTCGCGTACAAGTAAAACGATTATTTGCGCTGAAAATTATGTTTTGAGTTTACGCGAAAACCGGATGTATCGACATGACTTTCTTTAGTTTTACGCTTCTTGCACGTGTGATAGAGTTGCGCAATTTTCCTTTAACGATCACGTCGAATCGGATCGTAAAACCGGCTTCCGGATATTTTTGCTGATAAAAACATCTTTTTATTATTTTTAGATCTTCTCATTTTCCGGAGAGTACAAGTACATCCTGTGTCATCGAGGCCTTAAAGTAGAAATAAAAGATTCACCGACTGAATGCGAGTAGTCCTAAAACGTGGATATTCGGCTTCAATATTTTCTCGTGTTGCAACGCGGAACATAAAGTCGGTGGAAGTTGTTCGAGCGCGTTCGCGATCAGAAACATAACGTGGATCTCGAGATTACTTGACCCCGTGACATCCTCGCATTTCGGTATTTGTCTGAGGCTACATCTATCTCGTTAAATTGGATCTCGAGAATCCTCGAATGCCACAAGTTCCATAACTTTAGAAATACTCCAATAAATTGAAATAATAAAAAAATTTAAACAAGTAAGACACATTCCATGTATTATTTAAACTTTTTTCGAAATTATTCCGTTCTCATTAACAAGATAAAAGTTGTCGAAAATAGTTTGAAAAATAGTTTTACACTATTCTCTTCTCTTTTATCTAAATTAAAGATGGAATATAACTCATTTTGGACTCATTCAAGTCATAATATTGTAAAGATTTGCGTTTTTAACAATTTTCATATTTCTCTACAAATAAAAAATAAATAAATCTGTCTCAATATATAACGCCATATGCGCGCTTATGTATTTTAGTGGAGAAAAAGGGAAAAT